CGCTGCAGGACAGCAGGCAGGAGCCCTCAGCCCCGCTGCTGATGAGAAACCCATATCCCGTGGCTGCTGGAGGTCCCGCCCTTCCTCCCTGGCCACCCCTGGGACGAAGCATAGCTCCTGCCTGGAGGGGAAATCCTCCCCCTCGCCCCCACCTCCCGTGGGGCTTGGAGCCAGCCAGGTCACCCTCAATCCCTGCTGCAGCAAGAGGATTTGAGGTGCAGGCTCCCAGAGTGCCACCTTTTTGTTCTCATATCCCAGCGGAGGTTTCTTTTACAGCCCCCTCGCTCTCTGCCCCCAGCCCAGCACGCTGTGTCCCATCACCGGTGCTTCACCCCAGCCTCTCCCTCAGCCTCCAGTGCTTCCAGCAAAATTCCTTTCTGACCAGTCATTGCCGCCCCTCAGCCTTGACGCCTGTGGGACTGGTGTGCTGGCAGGGCTGGGCTTCCTCTTCCTGAGCCGCCCCAGCCCCCCCACACTCCCGACCCCCTCCTCGCCTTCACCCAGTGCCATGGCATTGGCCCTTTCCTGGGGGCACGAGGGCACAGGGCCTGCCAGCTGTGCCCACCCCAGGGTTCAGGCACCCAGTAGGGGTGCCCAGCTTCCCTCACCCTCCCCGGGGCAGCCGCATCCCACGCGCAGCCTGTGCCACGGTGGTCCCACCACCCCCAGTGGGTTTCTGTGAGAGGATGATTTACAGCCCCAGTTTGGGCAGGGAGCGTGCAGAGGATGACTGTGGGGAATCGCTCACTGCAAGGCAGCTGGGAGGAGTGGGAAGCAGCAGGGACGAGTGGGAGGCAGTGGCTTCTGGAAGGGAGCTCAGCCCCGTGGAGGTGTGAGGACTCCTGCCAACATCATCTGCCTAGCAGCACTGCTGCTGCTGCTCCCCCTCCCCTCCCAGCATCCATCCCAACTCAGGTCTCACATCCAGCATTTCTGGAGCTGGACCCCATGCTGACACCCACATCTTCCCTGCACACAGCCAGCACCCACTCATTCACCCCTCGCTGCATGTGCCAATGCTCAGCCCCAGCATCACCCCCTGGCACCCACAGTTCCCCTCAGTTTCCCACAGTGGCACTGCCTCTCCTTATTAATTTCAGGATGAATGCTTTGCTTTTCCACAGTCCCCTTCACCTGTGGCTCTCCCAGCATTGTGCAGATATTAATTACTGATAATTAATTAAGTCAGGCATCTCCATTCCCCTGTGGAGATGCTGTCTCATAAACAGGCTGACAGCAAACACAGTGTCAGGGCAGGCAGAGCTGGGTGGGAGCTTCCAGTTCCTGTTGCTAATGGTCCAAACCCCACCTGCAGGAGCTTCTACCTGATAGACCTTCCTGGAGGGCTAATGGGCTGGGAGGGGGAGATAGGTGGGAAACCAGCACCACCTGGTTTGGTCTCAGCAAGGTAGGATGGATGGATCTTTTTTGCCTCTGGCTGTCTCTGTGCAGCTTCTGCTCCTGGATTGCTACTAGTTTGCTATGGCTGTGGGACATGGGAGGGGGGCCAAACTGCTGATGGAGCTTGTTTTGAGCCACCTTGTTATTTGCATTGGTTTTGAGCTGCAAACCCTCCTAGATAGATGGGAATTATCCTCTGTCAACCCTGAAGGGTTCAGAGTGTTCCAGAGGCAGCATAAGGGTTCAGCATTTCCCCATCCCACTGCTCCTTAGTGGAGGGCTGGGACTCTGTGCAGGAAGAGGACAGGAAGACAAACAAGGTTGTTGACCCTTCTGAAGTGAAGGAGGGGGATTGCCCAGGGATGCACAGCAGCAACTTGCAGTTTGCTCACTGCAGAGTGGCTTGGAGGATCCCTTGGGCAGGGTCCCTCTGCTCTCCTGGGTGACAGAGCTCCTCTGGGCAGCCATGGGTGTTGTTTGGGGGTCTCTCCCCTGCCCAGGTCACCCACTCCCTCACTTGTGTGAGGCTGCCGCTGCCTGACCCTGAGGCTGCACGGGGCACCAATCCCTGACCGGAGGTGCCACCTTAATCCGGATCAGTGGGAAATCTGTCGAGTGCCCACGCAGCCCCGTGGCAGCTCACTGCCACTCCTGGGGCTCTGCAGATCAAGAGCCAGCTGGGACATGGGCACAGCCCTGCAGGAGCCTGGCCCTGGGCAGCCTTTCTGTATGAGTGTCGAGCACAAATGCATTAACTGTTGGACGGAGCCAGCTCGCCCAGCAGCCGCTCCACAAGCAAAAGCAGGAGCAAACTGGGGTGAGATTAAGGCATTCCTTGGGCAGCTCCCACCCCCTTGCCCTGGCCACTGCATCTCAGCCTGCAAGGCCACTAATGCTACTTACATTATTACTGGATTATTTGGATGTAATGAGCTTTGCCCCGCTCAGCTGTCCCTCTGCTCAGGGCTGTAGTGATGTGTAATACTTCCTGCGCGAGGCCACGAGGCGGGCAGCTGCCGGCTCGAAAACAAGCAGAGCCCCAACAACACAATGCGTTAATGTTCCCGGACAAAATTCCAGCATGGGCTGGAGGTTAATCACAAATCAGGGAGCTTTGGGTGTAGCGCTGAACAAAGCCAGGGGGCGGGAGGGAGATGGTTCCCTAAGCTGGGTCCTTCCCCGCCCCCATGGGCACAGGCAGGAGCGACCATATCGGTTCCATCTCTTTCTGTGGTGTAACTCAGCTATAACCGTCTCTTCCATCCTTGGCTCCTTTTCCTCTGCCTTCCTCCCATCAGACCTGCCGATGCAGGGGCTTGGCAATGTGTTGCTATGGACACCAGGAAGTTTTTCCCTAGAGACCAGAAGCCCGGAATAAGTGATGCCTGCATTTTCTGACATAGGTTATTATTTTTTTTGTTCACCTTTTTTTATTATCATGTTTGTTTAAATGTTGATTAATTCCCAGCTTTTCCTCCCACCTCTGTCATGCTTTTCTCACTGAGCTTTGTGGATTTCCGTGGCTGTGTCCAGGGCTTGGCTTCTGCTTCATTCTGGGCCAGGGCGTGAGCACTGGGTGTGTGGGAGGAAGTTTCAGTGCTGTAACTCTTGCTCTGCTGGAGACCCTCACAGAAAAGATCCCCCATTTATTCCCACCTCGGGAGATCCTGTTGGTCTCCCCAGGCTACTGCAGAGCTCACGGACACACACCACCACCAGCAGCTGCCACAGGAGGTCCTGGATTACTGTTCCCAGGGCTTGTGCCTCTTGGCAAAACATGCTTGTGAAAGCGTGGGTAGAGGTACCCTGCTCCCTTAATTGTTTTTGGGAGCTTAAAGTGATTAGGTTTAGACTAGTTAGTGTCTCTACTGGTCTGAGCTCCAGGCCTGACTCCCATTTCGTCACTTCTCTGTTGGCACTTGGTATCCTTTAGTGCCTGTATTGGTCTCTGAGAGCTCTTTGCCTGCAAAAGCACGATCAGGAGGGAAGTCCCAGCAGCTTTTGGAAAGCTGGAGCTTGAACTTTGCAGCAGGGCACTCACAGGAATGTACCTCAGCTTCCCTTGCAGCCCTCAGGTTGAGCTTGGTGAGGCAGCCTTTCCCCAGCAGCTCCACAGACCTGGGGATGAAGCAGTGGTCAGGGAGGGTCGGCCCATTTCCCAGAGGGAAGCAGTGGTGCATGTCTGCAGAGTGTATCTCTGGGCAGTTGGCATACAGAATGGGATTTTACTGTGAGACAGTCTCAATGTCATTTTGACTTCTCATTCTTTGCTTTTGAAGCCAATAATGGGCTGCTTCTGTTCCCTGTCACTTGATCTGCCCCTCAGTGACTGAGGAGCCTCTGATGAGTGATCTTCTCTGTCCTGCGCCCCTTATTCCCAGCTCTGGAGGGACTTCACAGACTGGCTTTCAATCAGCTGCTTCTCTTGTTCCTGGGAATGCAGTTCAGCACTGGGTCAGAAAATCTCTGGCCCATTGAAGTGCTGCCTTTTGCTGCTCAAGTTGCCCAAGTCGTGACTCCCTCTCGGAAATCTTACAGCAAATAGGCCCTGTGCTGCTTGGCCCCTGCCTGCAGGGGCTGGCATGGTGTCAGCCTGCCCAGACCTCCTGCACAGCCCAGGCACTTGCAGGTGAGGCAGGGAAAGCAGGAACTGCTCAGTACAATGTTTTCTGTGTGTGTTTGGGGGTTTTGTTGAGGCAGCAGAAAGATCCCCTGCTCCATATGGATCCTACCCTGGGTCATGGGGTGAGGCTGCTGAGCATCACCTTCATGGTGTTCTGCAGAGCTGCTGGAGGGGGATGAGGAGTGGAGGTGAGTCTCTGGACTCTCTGAAGCAGGAGAAAGATGGCTCTTGCCCACAGTTCTGTGGGAGCCACACCACCCTCCCCTGTGGCCCCCAGCTCAGCACAGAGCCTGCACGTGCCACGGTGCCACTCCGGAAGGAGCAGCAGGGCTGGGATGCTGCTCCTTGCTGAGGAGGTGAGAGTCCCACCAGGGCCAAACACTCAATTGCTGTGATGTTTGAAAGCTCCTTGAAAAATTACTTCTTCTTCCAGCTCCTAACCAAACAAATGGAAGCTCCAAAAAAACAGCAGTTCCTTCCCCTGCTGCTGCCAAATCGGTGCTCGCTGGGCTGTTTCTGAACGGGTCAGCAGCAAGCCAGGGCTGCCTGAGGGCTGAGCAGAGCAGTGGGTAGCTGGTCCCTGTGTTGTCCTTCTGCACCTGCTTAGGAGACAGGAGAGCATCTGGGGAGGCATGCTTGGCTTTGGGGCAATGCTGCAGGTGACCTGGCTGTCCATGAAGGGACAGGGAGCAGTGCTTGGGCACTTGCACTGCAGACCAGTGAGCCAGACATGGGACGTGGCTCTTTTGTGGGGCAGGGAAATCCCAAATCCAGACAGCGATGGGCACCCAGCTCAGAGTCGCTGGGTGCTGTCCTTTGCCTTTAGTGATGTCCTGATGTCCGGCAGGCGTGTCGCTGTCACCAGAGGGCTCTTTGGCAGCTGCCCAGCAGAGGTCAGTGCAGTGACACTCGGCTGTGTCCCAAATGCTAACAGACCCCTCCCCTCTCTTGTTTTCCCCTCCCTCTTTTCTGCCAGCAGTTCCCTATCAGCAAAACCCCTACACCCCTGGGAGCAGCTCCTCCGTGATCCAGTGCTACCGCTGTGGGGACACCTGCAAGGGCGAGGTGGTGCGTGTCCAGAGCAATCACTTCCACATCCGCTGCTTCACCTGCCAAGGTAGGTGGCCAGCTTGCCCCACAACCCCGGGTGCAGTTTGGAAAGCAAAATTCTGGGGACAGACTTACCTGGCCCTCTGAGATGTGGTCACATGCCCAGGGGTGGCAGCTTCCTGCAGGGGGTTAATGGCATGGCACAGGTGAGAGGTAACGGCACGGTGCCCCTGCCTGATGCCAGAGCCTATGAAGGGATGGCCGAGACCTGAGCAGTGTCACTACCCTTGAGCAGCCTCAATGCCAGCAGTGTGTGGGTACAAACGTGCCCATGGCCCGTCTGTGATGTGGCTGGGCCACCACCTCCTTCAGCTGCCTGCCCCCAAATCAGGAGGAGGAGGAGGGAGGTATTGCCAGCCTGGCTGAGAGGCAGTGAGGTGATACTCGGAGTGGCTCCTGATGGGGTTGGAGCTGGGTGACAGATCACTGCCACCCGCCCAGGAGACGTGACTGAGGTGTTGTGGGATGTCATGGGATGCAGCTGGGACTCGGTGGCCCTCAGGGCTGGCAGAAAGGGAGGAGAGAGGTTGTTTGAATCCTCCCTGAGCACCAGAGGAGAGCTGCAGAGCTGTAAAGCTAATGGTGCAGAGCTGTTGTGAAGGGCTCCTCAGCACCTTTATTAGAGCAGCTGCTCTCAGCCAGGCCAGTGGCTGCTTCTGTAGGCTGTAAAACATCCCATTTCAGGCCTTTTTAAAGGTCTCTGGTCTTCCATGCTCCCAACACTTTGTACTAAGCAGGACATAAATCCCCATCCCCTTGGCCATACTTTGCTGCTCTTTCCCAGAGAACAGCTGGTTTGGCTGCAGGGGACACTTCCCTGGACGGTCCTCACTCCTGCTGCAGCCCTGTCCCCTGTGGCATGGGCAGCCCTGGATCTCTGGGAGAGATGTGGGTCCCAGGCTGCCCTTGGGGCTGACCTACACCTGCAGGGCATGGTGCTGAGCATCCTGCCCTTACCCAGCTCAGACATGGAGGATCCAGCAGGAGCTGAGCATCCAGACAAAGAGCTCAGACAGCTGCCAGCTTCAAAGGACCTAGGAGCCAGCAGGGAGAGCCTGGCAGTGCTCACTGCCCGATTTCCAAGTGAAAGGGAATATATAATGAGAGGAAATCCTCCTGTCTCACCTTCCCTCACCTCCTGCCACCTCTGGCTGGCTGCTGCCAGCTCCCACAACTGCCTGTCCCTGCCATGTCCGCCGGAGCCTGGCATGGGAGTGCAGCCCTGGGATGTGCTGTGGGTCCCAAAGCAAACAGGGCATAAACCAGCTTCATTTTATCTTGCTGCTGCTTCCTAATGCTGTCCCAGAGCTGGTGACCTGTCCCTTGTTGCTGACAGGCTGTTTTGGAGAGCAGTGGGTGCTGGCCCTATGCCCCTCAGGTGGGTACTCACAGAACCAGGGAGCAGCTTGGCCAAGGGATGCTCCAAAGGAGAGGAGCTGCACCTCTGCCCCCATGGGCCCTGCAGCAGTGGGTCCAGCTGTCCCCTGCCACTCTGGAGAGGGTGGCTGCTGTGTGGGCTGGCCTGCAGGTGCAGGCAGGGTGGAAGGACAGGACAGAGAGGTGCTCAGGCCTGAAGGGTAAAACAGAGACCAAGATGGGCTGTGCCAGCAGGTACTCAATCGCTCTGTAGTCCCCCCTCCACCCCATCACCCTGCAGGACGGGTGATGGGCATTGTGCAAAGGCTCCAGGACCTGGTCCCTGTGCCAGGCCAGATGTGCCCTCCAGGGTCTGATGCTCTCGAGGTCTCTCTGGATGGAGAACTCGTGGGAGGGAAATGACACTGAGGCCAGGGCTGGCCACGTCTCCTTGGATTACTGTGATGGGCTGTGCACCACCCACGGTTCCCACAGCAGGGAAGGAAGCGAGGTTGGGCTGGACACCTATGGAAAAACAAGCACTGAGATCTCCAACCCCAGTGTGTCCCAGGACCTGTACCCATTAGGGCACAGCTTCATGTCCAGGCCAGGGAATGAGGATGGCTCATCACAGAGGCAGCCATGCCCCAGCGCATGGAGAAGACCTCTCCCTAGTTGTCCCTAGGGCATTCCCAACTCTTTGCTAGTCCTGTTCTCAGCTTCCTGACACAATGAGAATGTCAAAAGGAGGGGCTGAGCCTCAGCCAGGTGGGTCCAGGAGGGGATGCCACTGGCCCTGCCAAGCTGTTTGTTCGTGGTGTAGGGGGGGCTGCAGAGGTTCCCTCCCAGCCCTGGGATTTCCTCTGGGAGCACCCAGCCCTGCTGTCCAAGCAGTACCATCCTGCACCCCGCCACAGCCCAACACTGACATCTTGTGGTGCTGGGAGAAGGCCCCAGCCCTCTGGTGGGAAGGGAAACCCTCTGAGATACCTGCAGGAAGCTGCGTCCCCAGGGATGCCCTGGGACTGCTGCTGGAGAGGCAGCAGAAGTGGGCTCAGGGATCCTGGGCTGGACCTGCCCACTGTCCCCGTGACGGGTGCATGTCCTCCCTTCCAGTGTGCGGCTGCGACCTGGCACAGTCGGGCTTCTTCTTTAAGAACCAGGAGTACATCTGCACCCACGACTACCAGCAGCTCTACGGGACCCGCTGCGACAGCTGTGGGGACTTCATCACTGGAGAGGTCATCTCCGCCCTGGGGAGGACCTACCACCCCAAGTGCTTTGTCTGCAGCACCTGCAGGTGAGTGGAAATCATCACCAAGTATTCACGATCCCCTGGAGAAGCCTTGAGCAGCTCTTGGCTGTGCACCAGACAGAGGGGTCTTCGTCAGCCTGCAGCCCCTTGTGCCCCGTTCAGCATCACAGCAGGCACTTCCTCTGTGTTCTCTAAGTGGAAACCCTTGGGAGGCAATGAAATGGTTCCAGCCATTCCCTTTGCAGCCTGGAGACCTCCCTTGGTCCTCCCACCCCAGCACATGTGCACCCTCGCTGCCTCCTCTCGTAGCCCTTGCCTGGAGCCCCTCTGCTCCCTGGCAGAGGTCCTGAGGGTCCTGCTGGCCCCTGGGGTGGGAGCTCCCAGGCAGCCCCAAGCACTGCATGCAGGGGAATGAGCAGCTCACACCTCCCCCCCTCTCCTTGGCCACAGGAAGCCCTTCCCCATCGGAGACAAGGTCACATTCAGCGGGAAGGACTGCGTCTGCCAAAACTGCTCCCACTCTCTCATCAGCACCAAACCCATCAAGATCCATGGGCCGAGCCGTAAGTTGACTGCTCTCCTGTTACGTGATGGCTACAAGGAGCGGGACCTCATGCCTGTGGACGATGCTTGGGGAGGGTGACAAAACAGGCTTAGGGGCCACGGGTGTTCACAGAGGTTTCGGAGGAGGAGGAACAGGGTAGTCCTGTGGCTCCACCCAGGATTGCAGGTCACTGCTGGTTTCGGAAACTCCCTTGGCCTGTTTGTGACCTGGGCAGGTGCCGCCACCCTGGCGGGCGCTGTCTGAGGTCATGGAGAGGTTTTGGAGCTGAGTTTGCTCTGAGTCAGTTGCTTTGTGCTCAGCTGCACCAAGGTCTGTGTCCAAGTGCAGACCCTGGGACTACTCACCCGTGTGTCCTAGCACTGGCATTCCTTGCTGCCTCTACAAGTACTGAAAGGCTTTTTACATTCATCCCCTTGCTGTGATGAATCCCTGCTAAAACTCAGCTGCAGCAATGGACAAGCTCTTTTGGGTGGATTTGGCCTTGCTTTTGACCTCAGATTGGGATTATCTTCCCTTCATGCCATGCTTGGCAAACCCTGGAGATCAGTGCCTGAAGCAGAGTCCTGCAGCCAGGGCCAGAACCAGGACTGTGGTCACTCTGTCACCATGGCGGCACTGCTGGTGGCTGCGTGGGTTGACTTACATGTTGGTGCCCCTGGGAGCCCCCTCCTCAAGCTACCTCCCCCCAGTTCTCACCATGGCCTTGATGAAATTAAGAGATGTGGCAGGGTTCAAATGAGCCTCAGCCAGAGGACAAGGATTCCTCCACCTTCCTCCATCGCACCCTGAGCTGCCCAGAGCCAGGCTGTGCCTGACCCACAGCAGCCACTGTCTCCTGTAGCAGTGCCAGGGGAAGGCCAGCCACACGCTCTGCTTCTCGCCTTCCTCTCCCTTCCCATCCCATCCCCTTCCCACCAGTGCTCCTCCCTGCCGGGGTTACCTGAGGGCACCATGCTTTATTCATGGACAGCTGCAGGCAGATGTAGCCTGCCTATTGCATGTGTCACTCACAGCCCCAGTCGCCCTGGCAGTGCCACCCAGAAGGGTGGCAGGGGAGGTGTGTGGGCTGGAGCCCATGCTGGTGCACTCTGCAGGGATGGCATCCCTAGGAGGAGGATGTTGAGCCTCTCTCTGCAGCTCCAATCCTGTGAGCAACTCCAAACCAGAGAGAGGAAATGGATCCTGGTTCAGCTTGCTTTTTTCTAGGGGTCACAAATCCTCCTCCCTTAGCTTTGTCCAGTGGGTGGGGACTTGGCACAGAGTAGCTTGGGATGGGCTGAGTGGAACAGCCTGTCTGCTCCCACTGTGCAGTGCCATGGCAGGGAGGGGGTTAAGGAGAAATCCCATCCGGGCAGACCTGCTGCCCAGGGGGAAAAGAGGACAAGGAAGAGTCAAGGTCAGGCTCCGAGGCCCATGTGCTTCCTGCTCCCAGCCTTGATGGGAGCCAGGGGAAGCAGGGAAGGAAGGGAGTCTCGTAAATACTGCAGCGGGGCCGGACGTGGCTGCCGGAGAGCACAGCCCTTCCTCTGCTGCGCTCATTGCCGGACACTTCCCACTGCTCCTGCCTTGAGGCAGCCCTGGGGACCTGCCAGGACAGCATAGCCCCTGGCCCTGGCTCAAACTTGTCACCCAGCAGGGAGACCCAGCTCTGTGCTGTGGCAGGTGCGTGGCTGGGTGCCAGCAGTACCGCAGAGGTGCCAGCTCCAGCCTTCCTCCTGGTTCGTATGCTGGGAACAAGCAGAGGTGGTGTATTTCCATAAAGAAATGATCCCCAAGAGGCTAACCCTGGAGTGGTCTCAGGAGCTGGGTGTTTATAACAGCATCATCCCTAGTGAAGTCCTCTGGGGCAGAGTTTTCCTCTGGGTGTGAGGGGTGTGCCAGGTTGGATGACTAGGGTGCCTTGGTGTGGGCCAGCAGATTTGGGTGTTCCTGCTGTGTCCCACATTCCCCCCCTCTTCTGTGCCCCCAGACTGTGCTGGCTGTAAGGAGGAGATCAAGCAAGGCCAGTCCCTCCTGGCCCTGGAGAAGCAGTGGCACGTCAGCTGCTTCAAGTGCCAAACGTGTGGGATCATCCTCACTGGCGAGTACATCAGCAAGTGAGTGCCACCTTCCTGGCAGCACTGCCAGGCTCTGCCCCGAGGGGCTGGGGCTGCAGCAAGGGACTGTCCACTCACCCACTGCTAACCCCTTCTCCTCCCTCTCCCACAGGGATGGCATCCCATACTGTGAGTCTGACTACCATGCCCAGTTCGGCATCAAGTGCGAGACCTGTGACCGGTACATCAGTGGCCGGGTCCTGGAGGTGAGTCCTGGGGCCACAGCCACCCCATCCCGGTCTGTAATAGGGACATGCCTTGGGGAGGTGTGAGAGTTGCCTAATCCTGCCCCCCTGTCATGCTACCCTCCATCTCTGGGGGTCATGGCTCTTCCTGCAGCAGGTATGTGGACACACCTTCTCTGGAGAGTGGGAGTGGGGAAGGAGCACCAGAGCTTAAGAGAGGTGGCTTGGATGCCTGAGCTCTGGAAACAGCCAGAGTGGCCTGGATGTGGTGAGATGTGTCTGGAGTCCAAGATGTGGGGACATTAGCCTTAAACAGCTGCTGCCATGCCTGGCTCTGGATGTCCCCAGCACACTCACCCCAGCCTGCCTTCTGAGCCCATCCATGTGCCGGCAACCTGCCTGTTGCCTTGGAAACATATCCAGCACGGCTGCCCGCTGCAGAGCCTGGGTGAGGGGCTGCAGCACCCTACCCATGGGCAGCAGTCCCCATGGCACACTCCTTTGCAGGGGAGCAATTGGACCAGGGGGTCTCCTTCAGTGGTCCAAATCAGAGGGGGCTTTGCTCATTGCATTGCTGGACAGTAGGAGCTGCTCTGGCAGAGCCTTGGAGGGATGCAGTGATTCCACAGGGATCCCACAGCAAGGCGGCTGTGGAGTGTGTTTTGGGTGATGATGGGGCTGCACAGCCGGTGAGGGGAGTAAGGGTTGCTGTTGGGGAGGGACAGAGAGGTCCATCAGGGCTGGTCCTTTCTGGCGGCCAGGTGGTCACCTTCTGCCTGTGGCTCCTGCTCCCGGAAGTGGCATGTCCTGTCATGCTTTCTGTTTATACCGCAATGTGTGCAGGGGGAAAAGAAATCCAGTCTGAGGGTAACCCAAAGGCTCAGGAGGCACAGAGAAAGATGTCAGAAGGATAACACTATGGAGCTGGGCTGTGGTGACACAGAGGCAGCAGTGCTGAAAGCATTCTCAGTCACTCCTGCAACCTCCCCTTCTGCAAAGCTGAGCGGGAGGGAAGGGCTCCCATATCTCTGTCATCCCCAGATTGCAGCAGTAGGAAGCTGTATCCCAAAATCAGAGGTACCGTGACTCCACAATGAGGCCACAGGTGCTGTGGGCTGGGTGACTGACTGTGTTGGTCTCCAACCTGCTGAGGGTTGTTCCAGGACATCTCCAGCCTGTTTCACTCACAGTCTACCAAGAAACCATCACCCTCTCTGGTCCTGCCGGCTGGGCTGGCCTGGGAACACCCAGCCTTCCAAGGAACCTCTCTGAAGCTGGAGCCAGTTGCCAGGAACCTTTCAGCATCTTCCCCCTCTCTGGGGGGCTGCCTCTGCCTGGGAAGACTTTCTGCTGACTCCAGGCTTCAGCAGCAGTCCCAGCACTGGCTGCTGGGAGCATGAGCTCAGCACTGCAGCAGCTGCCAGGGGCCGGCTGCCCATCACGGGGTCACTTCATCAGCAAATGTCTGAATGGAGCAGGGCAAAGCCAGAGGCTCCCCAGACATCAAATCCCTGCTGCTGCTCCCCTGGGAAGTCTGGTCCCTGATAGCCCCGTGCCGGGACAGAGCACCCTCAGCCACCCAGAAGTGTGAGCAGGGAGGGTGTTACGTGGTACGGGATGTTCAGTGTGTGAGGGTGGTGAGAGGAGTCAGAGGGGACCTGAGACCCCTGTCATAGAATCATAGAGTGGTTTGGGTTGGAAGGGACCTTAAAGATCATCTCGTTCCAACCCCCTGCCGTGGGCAGGGGCACCTTCCACTAGGCCTGGTTGCTCCAACCCCTGTCCAACCTGACCTTGAACTCTTCCAGGGTTGGGGCATCTGTTCCAGGTTCAGGGGCCTTGCAGCCCACTCTCCCTACCCTCCCTAGTATGTGCTTGCTCACAGTATTGAATCATCTATAAATCCAGAGGCTTTAATTGTCTTTTCTGTCAGAGTGTGAAATGGAAAGGGTGCCTTTAAATAATTTTAGGCATTAAGGAGGCTCCTCATGCTATCCCAGCAGCCTTCAGGCATTCCCAACTGCTCCAAGCTGTGCAGCCAGGCTTGGATGATTAATGAGTCTTTAAGGGACCCAAGTGATAACAAGCAGTTATCCCTTGCAGCCTCTACCAGCCTTGTACAAGCTGTAGCATTAAACAATGCAAAAGGAACAAGGTTTGTGCATGGTTTGGAGGGTTGCTGCTCAGGAGGAGTGCGGGTGTTGAGATGTTGGGTGGCTTTTGGAGAGATTTATGATGAAAAGGAATTTGGGACTGGGCTGGTACACACCACAGGGGAGCAGCCAGTCTCCCTCCACATAGCATCTTAGAATCATAGAATGGTTTATGTTGGAAAAGACTTTAAAGCTCATCTCATTCCAACACTCTGCCATGGGCAGGGACACCTTCCAGTAGACCCATCCAACCTGGCCTTGAACACCCACATTCTGATCTGCAAAGCATCCCCTTTTAGCACAATCTGACCTGTGACAGCAGATAGGAAAAGGTGGATATATATGGCGGTTTTTTTCCTTACTGTCAGCACAGCAAGCTGTTGAGGGTACTGATAGAGTCCAAGAGCACTAAACCCTTCCCAGATTCAGAGAGGGATGGGGGAAGGAGGAAAGGAAGAGGAGTCCAAACTCATTTCCCCTGCCTGCACTGAAACCTTCCACTCATTTTTGTTGTAAACTGGAGGGGGAAGGCCACTGGCTGCCATTTGCACCCCAAGGACACTGAATTCCAGGCTGATTTCTATGGGCAACCCATGAGCAGGTTCTCAGTTATCCTCACAGCAGATTTCCCTGTTGATTCTCCCTGTTTCAAACTGGCTCCAGCCCCCTCTATCATAACCCCCCTTCTTTGTCTGTGAGAGCCTCATCTTCCCTCTGCCACCTTCAATTCTTCTTCTTCTTCTCTTGGATTATTATGGGAGTAAAAAGTTCTTTTCTGGGCTCCCAGCCCAGAAAGTGAGCCTATAATTGAAATGCTAGGAGACACTTTGAGGGGGAGCAAGCTCCCAATTTAAGCTGTTATCCCTGTCAAAGAGCAAAAGGAGCAGCCTAGCTTCCTCTCAGCTGGGGAAGAGCATGTCACTAGCACTGAAGTTTGGGCATCGCTCCACCGAAGGAGAAAAGTGTCTTTAGGGAGGAGCTGGCAGTGGTAGCCAGGGATGGTCTGGCAGCAAGAAGAAACCTTTGCTTTGTGAGGTTTATCTTTGGGGTCCTTCTTCTCCCTTTACTGCTTCCCTGTTGTGACATCCTGGGCCAAATTTGCTGGTTTTTTTCAAAGCTGTAGAGGAGGAGCTGGTGCAAAGCATGGCTGCTTAGCTGAGTGCTGCTGCAGAGGGCCTTGGCTATTTGCAGAGTGCAGGGATGATTGATTAGGGTTTGTAGGTACCTTCCCTGGGGGTTTGAGATCTCCTGGTTCTGCTTTCCTATGTGTTGGAAATCTCAAGGAGATCAGAAAATTCACAGTCTGACTCGTAGTCCAGCAGGTCAGAAACACACTCGTGATGAAGAGGTCTCTGGTTTTCTCCATGTGATGTGAAGGTCTCCGAGGCCACTGCGGGCAGTTTTGTCCCATTCACCTTGTCATTGTCTGCAGCAGTGAGGGCTGTCAGGGTCACTCGCCCTCAGGGACATGAGCAGGTCACCATGTCCTGCCTTGCTCAGGGGTCCCTGTTCTCTGCTCACCCTGCAGGCAGGAGGGAAGCACTACCACCCCACCTGTGCCAGATGTGTCCGCTGCCACCAGATGTTCACAGAAGGAGAGGAGATGTACCTCACAGGTAGGGGTGAGGAGGGCCCCCTGGCCCTGTGTTGGGGTGTGGACCAGAATGGCTGTGTGTGGGTGTCCTGGCTGGGGGGACTTTGGGGTTTGGGTCACTATGGCACTGAAAGGGCCTCTTTGTGCAGCAATACCCCCCTCCACTGCTCTCCAGCACCTGCACTCTTCCTGGTTAGGGTGGCAATCATTTCTCTCCGTGAAACCTTCCCTGCCACTGAGCTGGAGGAGTCTGTTCCTCATCGGAAGCTTTTTTTTCCCTGCGAGTCTCCCTACACAGCTGGGGAGCACTGCTGGGCATGCCTGGATGTGTCCCTGGCCTTCTCCCAGTGAACAGAGCCTGGGATGGGTGCAGGGTGCTTGTCTCCCTGCTCTCCCCAGCCCCAGGGGAGGGTGGTCCATCCCCAGCTCCCCCAGTCCAGGTTAGCTGGCAAGCAGCACTGGAGGGGTAAAGCTTTCACTCAGCACAGATGGATGGTTTGGGTTTGGTTTTGGCAGGAGCTTATCCCCTTAGACCTGTTTTAGGGGCTGTTTCCACCACAGAGGGAGGGTTTGTTTTCTCTCAGTAACCCCTGCTTGCCTGTCACAGTTTAGTAGGTTTGGCCACTGTTCCTCAGTGCTTGGGAGCTGTTTCATTCCTTAGTACAGACACACAGCCCCCAATGTCTTGAGGCTTCCCACCAGGCATGTTCCTATGGCACTGCTGGAGATGGCAGGGACAGGATGGGATTCTCCCATGGCAGGGGGACCTGGATGATCCCTGGCAGTGGGGGTGAGCTGTGTGTGGAGCTGAAACACTTTCCCTTTGCTGCGTTGCAGGCTCTGAAGTGTGGCACCCGATCTGCAAGCAGGCGGCCAGAGCAGAGAAGAAGCTGAAGGTAGGCAGCAGGGTGAGGGGCATCTTAAGAGGTGGCACATCTCAGGGATGCCCCCAGGTCCCTCTGCAGGAGGGAACTGTTGTGGCAGTGTCTAAGCTTGGAGTGGCTTCCTGAGGCTGCCCAGAGGATGGTGGGTGGCTATTAATGGACACCTGGTGGTGGCTGTTAATGGACACCTGCCTGGGGAGGGGGCACGGCAGTCCCCTCACAGTGCCCACACTCCTCTCTGCACCTGACTGGCCATGGGAACAGTTGTCAGCGGGGTCTTGCCAGGCCACTCCAGATCTGTCCCTGAGAGCTGGATGCAGGGCAGCCTGAACAGCCATGGGCACAGGCAGGCAGCAAGTGAAAGTGCAGAGAAACTGGACCTTCAGTGAAATTTTGCCCCCAAACCAACTATTTGGCTTCTGTGCCCAGCATGTGCCTGCTCAGGGGTCCCTCCTTGCCATGCTCTCACCTGCCTTCCACCTTTCTGCCTCCACAGCACAGAAGGACGTCGGAAACCTCCATCTCCCCTCCTGGTTCCAGCATTGGCTCCCCAAACCGTGTCATCTGCGTAAGTACAGCTCTGCCCCTCATCCAGGGCCCCAAGGAGGGGATCAGCAGTTTCCAGAGCTGCTCTTCAGTGTGAGGTGTCCCCCAGGGACAAGCCCAGCATTTGGGGACAGCATTGACAAGCTGTGTCCCCTTACCCCAGTGCCGTGCTGTGCCACCAGTGCAATTGGCACAGATCAGGAGCACTCAGAGGGGCACAGTCCTACCCTCCCAGCTCCTATGCCCCTACACACTGCTGCCTCTCAGGCATCTCCTCTTACCTCTTCTGCTGCTGGGGTGATGGTGGGCTCTGCCTGCTCCACACTGTGCGTTCCAGCCTTCCCTTCGTTCTCTCCTCCTCTTCCTTTCTGTCTCTCTGTCTCTGTCTCTCCCTCTCCCTAGGCTAAAGTGGATAATGAGATCCTTAATTACAAAGACCTGGCAGCTCTTCCCAAGATTAAAGCCATCTATGAAGTGCAGCGTCCTGACCTCATTTCCTACGAGCCCTATCACAGATACACGTCGGATGAGACACTGGAGAGATATAGCTATGGGGAGGTACTAAGTGTTGATATGCCCAGTGCTGGGATGCACAGGGACCAGGCCCCAGTTTGGGGGAGAATTGTGTGTGGGTTCGCTCACTCCAGTGGGAATACTGCAGGGAGGCAGGAGTGGGGATAGGATCTCTCCCGGAGGCTCATCGCCACCAGGAAGAAGGCCTGGGCTGAAAATAAAGTGTTGATGCTGCTGCTGTAGAGTAAGAAAGAAACCAGTGACCTTACCAGTCACCAGTGACCTTACCAGTCACAGACCTGACTGCAGGGATAGCCCTGCGTGGGAGGAGTGATGTGGCAGGGGAGGAGCCCATCACAGCCCACAGCGGGGGAGGAGGAGGTCACACAGCAGCACATGTGCATCCCTCCAGGGTGGAGGGACAGACGATCCCCAGGCTCAGCCCAGAGCCTGGCCCCTGGCACACAATCCTCCTGGCCACCCAGCACAGCACAGCACCCCTGGAGCATGGCAGGGCTGCCCTGTTTGGTGCCAGCCCTGCAGGCAGGAGAAGGGGCTTGGTCAGTTTTCACAAGACTGTGATGAGATGATGCCCCAGCAGCATGTGGCATGGGACTGTCCTGCCTGCTCAGGCAGGCTGGGACTGCTGGATGAGTTCAGTAAGTCCACGGAAGAGAAGGTCTGAGCAGCTCACACAGAGATGGGGCATCTGAGGTAGTCTTGGAAGGGGACTTGATGATGGCCAGCAGGAGGAGCATCTCTTACATCAGCAGCCCCAAGGTTTTGCCCAAAGCCTGACTTCCTCCAGCCCCCCCAGGCTTGGTGCAGGCAGCATGGCCATGGCCCACTGTGGAGCACCCAGGAGCCAACAGCTGCCTTCCCCCCTTGCAGCTGCTCCACTGAGGTTTCTGAGAAGGGGTGCAGTCTGCTGGTTCCTCATGCTAGTTCCCCTCTTGGCCAGGGGTTTCCTGCCCAGTGTCCTGTACCACCAGCCACCCTAAATGCCTGGCAGCTGTAACTTGGAGAAAATGAGCTGCTGTGGAATCCTGGTCTGTCACTGCTCCTCTTAACCATATGCTGTCTCTCTCTCTCTTTTCCTCCCCACTTTGCCTCCTGCTGCCTCCAGTCCCTGGGGACCCTCTCCCCATACTCGCAGGTAATGCCCCTGTGGGCACTGGGAGGTTTGTCACCTACTGCTGCTGCAGGATGTCCCTCTGCCCAGGACAGCTGGGGCTCTGCTGATCATCCCCCCCACAGCTGTTGGCTGCCCCAGGGTGGGACCCCTGTCCAGGAGAGTCCTGTCCTTCAGGCCCTGAGGAGAACAGGGTGCAATCCCTCCCTGGCAGAATGGACCCAGGGTGCAAAACCAAGCACAGGGCAAGGAGACAATCTCCAGGGAAAGAGCCTCTGGCTGGACATGTCACCTGGTCTCAAACTCTGGGCTTTGCTGCCTGTGCTTTGGCAGCAGGGGAGGCAGAGCAGGGTGGGGACCCCCTCTAGCCAGGACATGCACTACCCATAGTGTCACACTGCAGAGCACCCTCCCGGGCCGCTCCAGGCACAGGGATCCCTATCCATGGGACACCTCCTGCCAGCTCTAACACCACTCTCTCCACACCTTCCCCATCCCCAGGACATCTATGAGAGCTTTGACACGCGGCAGAGGCGAGCCTCCAGCCCTGGCTACATCGACTCCCCCACCTACAGCCGCCAGGGCATGTCCCCCACCATCCCCAGGTCCCCCCACCATTTCTACCGCTCAGGTGAGGATTTCAGCTGCAACCCCAGGCTGAGCTAAGCTCAGACCCCCAGGTGGAGTGGGGATCACCAAAATGCCACTGAGACTTCTGTGGTCTCTCCTCTGGCAAGCAGGAGGCCTGGGGGGGGCGTCCACCAGGGAGGCAGTGACCAATTCTGATCTGTGCATCCTCTGGTTCCCCCGACTCTTGTCTTGTGAGCAGCAAGGAAAGGCTGAGAAGGCTTTGTGGCTCAGACCTGAGCTGGGGCTCATGCAGGATGGGGTGGGGAGGCAGGTGACCTCCAGATCCGGTGAAGAGCCCCTCAGCTGTCTTGGTAGCTCTGGGATGGGTGTGCACGAGTGTGCTTGTGCCCAGCCAGTGCTGTAAGGGAGGTCCTTACACGTGCACACGTGCATGCACGCACACCCCGGAGCATGTCGGGGGGAAGCAGAGTGTGTCTGTGCCATATCTCCTGTCCTTTGGAGCTGGGAAGGAATGACCGGGAAAACCTGAGGTCAGTAAGTCCAGAGGTCCTGCAAACCCCAGCGCTTCACCGCCAAGGGTCCGTCACCGTTTGTCTCTGCAGCACGCTCGGCTTTCCTGTCACCAGCGGTGGGGCAGCTGGCTGTCCTGTACCAGCACCTGCACACGGGGTTTCCTCTGCATCCCATCTTCCTCTGGAGATGCGGGAAATCTCCCCCTGCTCCATCACTCCCTATCCTGGATCACGGCCCGGCTCACATCCCTGTGGGTTGCCCACAACCACATGGGTTGCCCCTGCTCTTCTAACACTGCTGCATTTAACACCCATTTTCTTCTGCCTCTTGTTCTCTCTCTCGGTCACTTATGGCTGCTTCTGCTCGGCACCGCGTAGGCACCGAGAGCGGGCGCAGCTCCCCCTACTATAGCCAGTTAGATGTGAGGTCCTCCACTCCAACCTCATACCAAGCACCCAAGCATTTCCACATCCCAGGTAGGCTCTGGAGCACCCCGGTCCCTGGGGAAGCGCCGTGTCTGTGGCATGCCCGCATGTGCCGTCCCCGCTGTGTCGCATGCGTAGCTCCGCCGCCTGCCTAGAGCCAGCTGGCAGCAGGATCTACCCCTGTTAGAGGCCATCCATAAACAGGACCTGCAGCTTGAACCCTCCTCCCTCCCCATCACCACCCGGAGGTCCCAGAGCCGCCCGGAGTCTGCTTGATCCTTGCAACATCCCTCTTCTCCCTCTTCCCTGACCTTCCTCCACTCCCCACACGAAGATGAGTCCCCTGGTGAGAGCCTGCCCCCTCCCCTGCCTCCCCCCAGGATCACCAGCCGAAGCGTGTCTGCCGGAGGCCTTTCCGCACCCACCCGCTACAGATGACTATTTTATACTCCCCCTAGGGCCCGCTGCTCCCTCCCCCCAGATCTTCTGGGCTTGCCAGATGCCTGCTCCCCTTCTGCAGGGATTGCAGGGGGCCACCAGGTAAGGGCCACCACCCGCTCCCAGCCACGCAGAGTCCACGGGAACGGGGACGGAGCGGGCAGAAATGGAGAGTGGGGTGGGAAGCAGGCAGAGCTGCTCATCATCCTTCAGCACATGCAGGGGGGTCAGAACCCCAGACAACCCCACTCAGCTGTAAGCATCTCCCACTGCCCTTGTCCTCCTTCAAAGCATGGGACTCTCCACAGTGCGTAGCTGATGCCCTGGGATAGCACCATGAGGACACCCAGAGGCTCCCCACCATGTCCCCAGCTCCCATCCCATCCCTGCCAGGGTTTGGCCCCTCTGCCCGCCCTGCCCTGCCCTCCCGCTGCCGGTCAGTGGTTTATGGATGGCCCCCTCCCTGCTCCGCCAGCTCTGCTGCCTGGCCCCTGCGCGGGGGCTGCAGCTCTCGGCGCCAGGCTCCAGTTCGCTTTCCCTCCCAACTCGCTCTTTTCTCTCTCTGCTGCGGAAAGAGGCTTTGGCTGATGTTGTCTCACCCCAGGTAGCTCACAGGCGGTTCTTCTAGGTGCTGGCACCCCGAGAAACCGCCGCAGGGTGAGCGGTGATGCCTCGCTGCCGGCTGGCGGGGCGGCCGGCGGCTCTGGCTGTGCCCGCCGCACCCGTGCATGCTGACGCTGGGTGCTCACTGCATGGCCTCTGCTCACCACTGCCCGCAGGCAGCCCGGGACCACCCTCCTGCTGCCCGGGACCGCGCTCCTGCTGCCCGGCACGCCGGCCTGGAGCTGCGCTCCCTTGGGACACGTGGGCCCGGAGGCGGTTGTGTGATGGAAATGTGGTTGTGGGGATAGTGTCTCCTGCAGGACCTCTGTCCTGCCCACTCTCGGCACGCCCACACTGACCTCTCCTTTCCCCTTCTTCCCTTCTTTCTTCCTTTTCTTTCTCTCTTCTTCCACCAGCTGCCGGCGAGAGTAACATCTACCGGAAGCCCCCCATCTACAAGCGCCATGGTACGATCTGCCTGCTGTGTGTCCATTCCCATGTCCCCATGGGGACAGGACCAGCATGGGGCTCAGTCCAGCTGAGTCATGTCCAGGGGCAGGGTGGGAGATGAGGGCAGGCGTCAGGACAAGATGTTTGGACGTTGGGCTTTGGTGGTCTGTTCCTGCCTCCCCTCTGGGCAGAAGAGTGCAAGGTTCAGTGGGAGAAAGATGCTGCTTTGGACCACATCCCTGCTATGAGGGATGGAGGAGAAAGCTGTCAGCAACACCAGGGTAGCTGTGGGAGGGTGAGCAAGGCAATGATGGGGTGGCAGAAGGTTCAAGGGTGGCCGTTGATTTCTGAGGCCGGGAGCCAGAGCAGCCTCAGAAAAGTGATGAAGAAGGTAATTTGTAGTTTCACATGGAGCCCTGGAGAAAAGTCACAGCCCATCCTGGATAGATGCTCCAGGGTGAAACAGGCCTGGGAGGTGTTGCAGGGTGGGGAGGGTGTTTGGTGTCTCTCAGTGGGGATGGATTGCACTGTCCCCACTTGCTTCTGCACACAGAGGGACAGCAGCTCCCCCCAGCAGTAACTGTGTTTCCTCTCTCTCCCTGGACTTTCCCTTCCCTCCTGCCCAACTCCCACTGCCCCGCTGCTGGCTGCTCCTCCTGCTGTAAGTACCTGCTGTTGGCTGGGTCCCCTGTGCCTGCTGGAGGTGGTGGGATGGCCCTGCTACACCTCCTGTCCTTGATGTTCCTTCCCCTGAGAGTCTCCCGGCCTCTGGTGCAGCAGAACTCCCCTCGGGGTTTCTCACCTATGCTGCTGAGGCTCAGTCTGTGTGTGTCCCTGCCATGGGGGCCAAGCCCCTGCCAGAGCCCCTCTGCTCCTTCCCTCCTGCACAGCCCACTGCCACCTTCCCCTGGCAGTAACCCGAAGAGCCCTTTCCCTGCTGGGACTGAGCTTTCCTCCATCCCCTCTCTCACTTACAGGTGACTGGAGAGCACAGGGAGGTTGGTGGCACTGGTGGGACTGGGATTGGGGTGAGCACTATGCAGGAGCCAGTGCTTGTGGTGCTGTGGGCTCTCAGCTATTTGTGTCTCTTCCCAGCCGCATCAGCGACAGCCCCTCTGCTTGTCACTGTCCCCACCATCTGCCTCAGCACCCTTGTCTCGAGGAGATGTCAGCAGTTTGATTATTCCCAGCACTGCTCCAGGCTGTCCCAGCCATGAGTCGCTGGCAGTCACTGGGCGGGGGGAGAGGATTTGCCTTCATCCCTGAGTGGATCTTTGCAGGCCCTCACTGTAGCTCTACCTACTCCTTTTGCAGACAACCCCTCTGCAGCCACAAAAAGCAAAACCAGTGAAGACATCGCGCAGTCATCCAAGTACAGCCCTGCCTACTCCCCGGATCCGTACTACCACTCCGAGTCAGAGTACTGGCCCTTCCAAGGCTCGCCCAAAGGTAATAAATGCCTGCTGGACTGTGAGAAAGGGAAACCCATTCCTGCCCCCAAACCCAGCCACTTCCTAGGAGGGAACCTTGCTCTGAGTTGTGTCTGGACCCGAAAGTGGTGTTGGGTTGAGGTACCTGCCAAAGTGACCCTAAAGTCCTGGGAGCCCCTGGGACTCAACTGTCCCCATGTGGTTGGGAATGTCTCCTTCCTACCTGCCTTCACTTTTGGCCCCATCTGACACCCTCACGTGTCTCCTTGCAGCACCCCGGGCCCGGAGGTTCTCGTCAGGTGGTGAGGAGGATGGGTACGACCGGGGCATGCACAAGGTGAGTGATGTCCCTGCCCACAGCCCAGTGACAGAGAGCTGACAGCAAACCGCCCCTGGTTGGCTCTGGGGAGGAGGCTCAGCCTAGTTCTGCCACCCAAGAAGGGGCCACCACTGTCCCTGCTGTCCTGTGCCATCTCTCCCCACTTTGGCCACCCCCAGCACAGGGTCTGAAGGAGGGGGAGCAGATGGGAGGTGCTGAGCCCATGCCAGGAGATGCCATGCCCTGTCATGATGTGCCAGTGGGCAGGGAGGGCTGGGCAGGGAAAGGAGGGGTGCGAGGTGGCTTTCCCTCCTCTGTCCAGATCCAGAGTGGCATTGGCAGGCTGATCCTGAGGGAGGAGATGAAGGCTCGGTCCAACTCCTACGCAGACCCCTGGACACCCCCTCGCAGCTCAGCCAGCAGCAGAGAAGCCCTGCACACGACTGGCTATGAGGGCTCCCTCAATGGCTGTAAGGATGATCCTGTCTGTCTGTCTGTCCGACCCACTATGGCCCAGCCCCTCTGGGAAGTTTGCTGGGGTGGAGAGGGAAGAACGGGACTAGGAAGGGGAGGGGAGAGGAGAGGTGCTGGGCACAGAGTTGGCCTAAGAAAGCTCTTTTCGTTTCTGGAGAGCTCCATTCTTTCCCTGTGTCCCAGCTGGGAAGGGGCATCACCCAGTGGGTGTCCAGGCAACCTGGTGAGGTGCCTCGTGGGGTGGCTGAAGGGTCCCTTGAGAATCTGGCATCGCAGCCACGCTGGGGTTGCTCTGACCTGTTTGGGCTGGCTGCACGTGTGCTTCACTAATGGCACCTCTGGGACCTCCTGGCACCCCAGACCTGCTGAGCAGCCTCAGGGCTGCCTTGCTTGCACTGCTCTTACCACACAGCACCCAGGGCACCCATCTCCTCTGTCCTTGGGGCTACGATGGGGCTGTGCTTGAGAGCCTGGCAGCACAGATGGCCCTGCCTGCTCCATGGTCTCCATCTTCATGGCACATCTGCCCTCATGGAGCTGGGACTGTTTGGAGGTGCTCAGGGAGCCCCTCAGCCCTGCAGGACTCCAGGGAGCCCCAAGGAGGACCCGTGGGGTTGGGAACAGGCAGCACTGCATGGCATGGGGTGCTTGGTCCTCCCTGACAACTGGCTCTGCTCTCCTTGCAGCTCCCAGAACCCACTACCTGGCCGACAGTGGTGAGTGTGTGACCCTACAGCCCTCCACGGCTGGTCCCCCATGGCTGGGGGGTCCGGAACCCAAGCTGGAGGAGGTGCTGGGACCAGGGAGGGAAGAAGGGAAGCAAAAAAGGAGCCCTTGAAAGCCTGTGCAAGGGTAGAGCTGAACCAGGGCAGAGCTGATGGCAGCACTGGGAGAGGATAAGTCAGAGAAACTGAGAGAGGAGAATGTGTTGTGCTGGAGAGTAAAGAGGGAAGGCTGCCCTGGGAAAGGGATTTTTAGGAGAGGAATATCAGCACAGGAGGAAGCCAGGCTGGAAATGAGTTGGAGCTGGAAGGAGACAGAGCTGGGTGACTGTGGAGCTGGGTAGTGACAGCTCTGTGGGAGCACAGAGGTAGGGTGGCCCAGTGGGTGCTGTCCTGGGATGTGAGGCTCATCCCTGCATTTTCTCTTACACATCTTGCTGGCTTCTTTGCAGATCCCCTCATTTCTAAGTCGGCCTCCCTTCCTGCCTACAGGAGGAATGGGCTGCACAGGGTAAGTGCCTCCTGCTCATATCCAGCTGCCGCCAGGCCTCTCTGTGCTGTTTGTCATTCTTCCCAGGCTCCTTAAAGCCCCCAGTGCTGCCCTTCCAAGACTAGGGTGTCCTGCTTCTCCCTTCTCTGCATCCCTGCTGTCACTGCTGCCCTGTGCCAATCCAAAATGACCTTTTTTGGGGTCCAAAGTGCCTTGTTCAGGCAGTGCCTGCCCTGAACCTTCCACAGGCATGTTTCAGAGAGATACTGGTGTTGCTTTCCAGCACAAGAGCTTTGCTTCGTATCCTGGGCTAGTGATTGCTTGGGACCAGGAGCTCTGGTCCTGCCTCTGTGTGACTTGGGCTGGTCACTTCACCTCCTTCTGCCTCAGTTTCCCCCCTGCCAGGTGTGGGGAGCGGGTCCTGCTTTGGCATGGTGGGGTGCCTTCTCTCCTGGGAACATGGGAGATGCCATGCTGAGTGTCTGGAGGAGACCCCCTCTTACTCCTCTTCCCTCTGTTCCTCCCACAGCCTCCCAGCGCTGAGCTTTTCCACTACGACAGCACGAATGCCGTCAACTGGGGGATGCGAGGTAAGGGACCACGGGGCCAGGGACCCTGTAGGCATTCCAGAGCCAAATCCTGTGGGGCTGCCACCTGCAGGCAGTTCTGGAAAATGAGGCTGGAGGGAGGATGGTGGGAGATCCTGGCAGCGGAGGGGTCAGCATGGCTCATGTCTCTCTTTTCTCTCTCCCCACAGAGTACAAGGTAAGATGCTTCTGCTGCAAGGCTTGGCTGTCAGCCAGAGGTGGGAGTCCCGGAGATGTGTCTGTGTGTCCCCAGGCTCTTCAGGGGGAAGTTTTGTCCTCTTCCTGCAATGCCCTGCCTTCGTCCCCCTCCATCCCCTACATGACAGCCCCGTCCCAGGACTGTGGGGCTCGGACCAGAGTCCATCCCCTCCTGCCAGGGTCCCAAGCACTCGGATGAGCAGAATTGTCTCCTGGGTGAGGAACAGAGAAAGGTGGTTGTGCTGTGATTTCCTACTCACACTTGTACCTGGGTCACTCCTGGTTTCACAGAGTGAGCAGGCTATTCCAGAGCCACCAAGGGGATTTAAGCTGGATCAGGATCACCCTGAGAGCAAGTCCCTCCTATGCATTGTCCCATCCAGTCGCTGGAGTCAGTTGTGCCACCCAAACACTGCTAGACATGGCAGGAGGAGGTTTTGCCTTGGTGGTCCCCATGGCCTCATTCCCAAGTGTGTCTCAGTTGTCTTCCTCTGTCTCTGGAGCTGCCTCATGGTCTTCCTGTCACTGTGCAGATATACCCCTATGAGCTGCTCCTGGTGAAGACAAGGGGGAGGAACCAGCTGCCCAAAGATGTGGACAGGACTCGGTTAGAGGTGAGAAGAGCCTTTTCCACTGGGGACATTCTCCTCAGGGCACAGAGGGACCTGATCCCGTGGGGTGTCCCTTTAGCCCCAGCAGGCAGCGTGTGGCTGTGAGGGGCTCATGGATGTGTAGAAGCATCTCTATGTCTCCCCAGGAGCACTGTCACGGTGGTCCTGCTGCTCCACCGGCCGAGCAGAGCTGTTCCTCGTGCCCACAGCACGATTGTGTTTGGCAGGGGCAGGAGGGAGGCAGGTTCTCCCCCTCTCCAGAGTGAGAAGTGCTGAGAGTTGTGGCACCCCATTGCCCCAGGCGGGCAGGAGATGCCCTCAGAGCCCCTCCAGCCTGGGTGGTTGCTGTTGGCCCTGGGTGGTGGCCAGAGTCCCCAACTCTGGCCCAGCATCCTGTCTCTCCCCAGCGGCACCTTTCCCAGGAGGAATTCTACCAGATCTTCGGCATGACCATTGCTGAGTTCGACCGCCTGGCCCTGTGGAAGAGGAATGAGCTGAAGAAGCAGGCCCGGCTGTTTTAAATGCAGTGCACTATAAATATATACATACCTATAAATATATACATAGAGAGATCTCTATATTGCAGCTCTACATGATTCTCGGTGCTGTATGGGGCAGAGGTGCCCTCTGCGCCCCTGAGAGTGAATTGGAGTCTTGCAGATCATTTTATGCTCTGTGTTTCCTTTACTTTTCCAACCTTGTTTCTGTATCAATCTGTGGGTTCTCCCGGGAGCTAAAGCCACATGGTTCCTGAAGCACTGTCACTGCTGCCCCACAGGCACATGATGGAGTGGGGGAGGATTTTCCTGCTGCAGCCACAGCACCCAGGGCTGGGGGAGAGCAGGGCTCTGGGATGGGTTTGGGATAGGGGTGTCCTGTCCTCCTCTGCTCAGCTGCTCTGTGTATTTACTTACGGGTTGGAAAAGGCCCCAGGCACAATTGCAGGAAAGTGGGATCTCAGTAGGAGCTCCTTAAAGCCCTCCCTGCCTTTACATGCCATGACTGGGGGCACCTTCGGGATCAGAAATGCAGAGCTTGGGGCATGGGACAGAGAAGTGTTGAGGACCCCATGGGGAGCTGGGTGCACCCCCATGTCCAAGGTGAGAGCCTGAGCTCCGATGCCTCCAGGGCTGTTGGCTTTCCCTGCAAACCCCATATTACCAGTTTATCCTCCCAAGGTGCCGGAACAGCAGCTTTCCAGGCCATCCCAAAACCAAGCTCTTCTTAAATGAAATAGCCAAAGCCACCTCCTGCCTTGTGCAGTTTCTTGCTGTTCTTGAGGTTTATCCAGAGTCGAGAGGGGACACCCTGGGGTACCCAGTCCTGGGCCCCAGCTCCGTGGCTCTGAGGCCTCAGCACTCATGGGGGAGTGGTGGGGGTATTCCAGCTGGGAGCTGGGGGAAAGATCAGAGACAGGGAGGTGGGGATGCCAGTCCCACTAACTGCTGGACCTCTCCTGGGTTTACCTGAATTACCCCATCATGGATGCCTGAGTCCCTGATGAATCCTTCTGCAAGCCTCTGGGAATGACGGACATTCCCAGGGCCATTCAGCATTCCCTCCACTGCAAACTATTGGGTTGGGGGGGGTGGTGCTGGGCTTATTTTTTCCATAAAACTAATAAGGTTGTTTCCACACAAACATTTTTCCTGGTGTCTGTGGTGCTCTGGTTTCCTATTTGCTTGTCCATCACAATTTTCAGACATGTGACAGGACTCTGAACCATTACAAACAGGCCAGGAAGCTGTAGGATATCTCTGCAGGAGCCAGGTCAGCAGGGTTCCTCCGAGGGTACAGCAAGGGTTTTGCCTTCACTGTGGCAAGGGCCAGGTCTGCTTCTGCCTGTTCTGGTCCCCCCTCCTGTCCTGGTGTCTCCCATCAAGTGAATTGAATGCTCTCCTTGCCATCAAATGTTGTCCAGCTTGTTGCCCAAAAAGCCATCACAAGGTTCCTGTGTGAGGCAGCAGAGATATGTGGGGCCCCTTGCAGGGGTTTGCCAGGGTGCAGGGGGCTCAAGACAGGAGATCTCCCATTAGGAGCAACCCCAGCTCTGGGAGCTTTACACCAACATGGGAGAGGCTGGGGACTGAGGTTACCATTTCCCTGGTAACCACTCCTGTCTGCTTTAGAGCAGCACTAATTGAACCAATTTTATTTATAATTGTTTTACTTATATAAACTAGGTCTCCCTAAATCAAGCTTAACTGTTTGTGGCTACAGGAAACTTCCATCTCCAGCAGCAGTTTCAGTGATAAAGCCTGGAGGATATTATTAATAACAATAATAACAGAACAGCAGGAGTCTTTTCATTTTCAAATAATTTTATGGACAGTAACTAACTGTTCTCCTGCATGGCAAAGGTGGGAAAACTGAGGCAGGACACGGTGCTCCCTCCCAGAGCCAAGGCAGCCTCTCTGGCTCATACCATTCTGGGGCAGCAAACCTCGTGGGTCGCTCATGGGCTGTGCAGAAGGTACCCAGGTGTCAGCACCTGCCCTGGAAGCAATTCCTGCCTGAGCCCATCCTCTCATTTGGCTGCTCTGCAGTTCCCAGCCACAAAGCAGCCCGAGCCTGCCGGTGTTGGCAGCCCTGGCTTATGAGCACCTCTGACCACAGATGACCCCATGTTATGAGAGAAAATCAGGGCTTGATCCAGACAGGAGGGACCAACAAACACCGTCCAGGCAGGGAGCAGTGTCTGGGCAGGAGCTGGCTCCCAGCCAGCCATGGAGAGGTGAGAGAGGCTACTGCCTCACAGCAGTCCTGGGCTGAGTGTGCCCCAAATGGGGAATTTCTCGAGGCCAGTTGCTAATGCCCATCTAATATTTCAATTATTGCTTTCCCAAGCGATAACAGGGTATGTGTGATTTACATATTTCTGTCACAACCTGCTGTCCCCAGAGGGGTGCCAGGAGACGCTGTCCTTGCTGCCAGACGTGAGGCACTCTCTCACACACCCCACAAGTCTCCCGAGCCCAGATCTCCCTTGAGGGGAGAGGGACAGTGACAGTGGCATGAGCACCGTGGCCCAGCAGATGCCGGGCACATGAGGGGCACCAGGAAGGAGCAGATATGGAAGGGGTTTTGAGGTAGCTGTGTTTGCTCACAGCATATGTGTTTGGGTGTGGGAATTCGGTATTTTTTCCCCAAACCGAAGTTGCCCAACCCAACAACCCCCGCGGGCAGGTGAAGGTGCCCCACTCTAGACCCCCGCCCTTCCCAGGGGGGTCTCTGGGTGCTGCGGGGGATGATCAACGCCCGGTGTGCGGCAGCACCTGGTGGGGATGTAGGGATGAGGGGACCCGGGACACTGCCAGCCGCGCAAGGGGGGTCGTGGGAGGTGGGGTCTGCAGGGCTGCACACGGAGGGTCCCCGTCTCTGGGGACAGCCCTTCCGCCCGTGCTGCCGGCGGGGAACCCCCCCCGGGCTGTGTCCCGGTGCCGTGCCGGGCCGTGCCGGTGCTCGGCGCTGCCGTGCACCGAGGGAGGGGCGGACGAAGGGATTGGCCGCTCCGAACCGAGACCCGGCCCCGCCGGGCGGCTGCTGCCCGTGACACTCGCCCGCCCGCGCCTCCCGGGGCGGCCGGTGCTGCCCGCGGCTCCGGGACCATGGACCGGCTCAGTGGTAAGAGGGGACGGGACGGGACGGGACGGGACGGGACGAGAAGGGAAGGGACGGGACGAGCATCCCCTTTCCCGAGAGCACGGCGCGGAGGAGAGAAGGGTTTCCCATCCCAGTTCCAGGCTGGGGATCGCGCATCCCATCCCAACCAAGCGGGTGCGTCTCACCAGCTCGATGTGGGACCCTGCTCCCAGGGGGCCTTTACCCCTTACCAGTCTTGCGGCAGAGCCAGTTGGGGCACAAACTGGTGCCAGTTTCCCTTTGCTGGTCAGATGGGTAAAAAGCCATCAGCCTGCAAGGAAGTCTATAGGGTGTAAGCACTTGTTAGGGGAAATTGTGGTCGTAGAAAGGGAGGTGACATTTTGAGATAGAGCTGATCAGATTTAGAGGGTTTCCTTATCTGGGGAAGATGCCAGTGGCCTCATAAAGCCACGGAGGGCCTGATCCCCACCCTGTTGGGAAGTGGCTGCGTTCCCACATGTGTGTGATTCCTGCCTGCAGCTTGTGGCATTGGGCTCACGTAGCTGTTAGGCTTTGATCTGGGATATGTATAAACCTGCCAGGGGCTTTGGGCCAACTTTGTAGAGAAGGTCCTGGCTTTCTGCTAGGGCTGGCAGGTCCCTGGAGGGAGCGGAGGAAAACTTTCAGGGGGCTTGCTGTTTGCTGCCGCTGAGCAGGGGCCTGGGGCTGCAGAGGAGGAGCAGGTGGTGACATGATGTAGTACGGGGGTCCTGGCCCTTGACCTGTCCTTGGAGGTGCTACAGAAGCACCAGCCAAAAACGATAACAGGGAGGCCAGGGGCCTCAATCTGGCTCTGCAGGCTGGGACCATGCTGAAATCCCAGGGGAGTTCAGGCACTGCTGTGTCTGCAGCTGTGGGTCAGCACCAGAAAGACCCAAGGGTCAAGAGTTCCCCTTCCCGATGTAAAAGGATGGGGTGGCGTTTCCGCAGTGGAAACACAGTTATGAGGAGTGTGAGACTTGTGGAAACACAGCTCATGGTGCTCGGAGAGCAGTGTCAGTGCCCTGCAGCCCAGGAGGGGACAGGGCTGATGACAGGGACAGCCTTCCTCCACCTTCCCCTGTGGCTGCAGCTCGCCCTGCCTGCCAGCCCAGGTGCCTTTGCCAGCTCTGAAGGAGGGTGCTGTTGCAGGAGGAGTGTTGTCAAATGACATGTCATGCCAGAGGTGGAGGGTCCCAGAGTACATCACCAATGGGAGAGCAGAGGGTCTTGGCTTCCCTATTCTCCTGCTGTGCAAGCTGATGGGAGGTTACCCCGCTTGCATCACAGTCCACCCCAAAAATCAATCTTGGGACCTCGTGGCAGAGGATGCCCAGCATACTGTGGAAGCATGATGTCTGGGCATGGTTTGGCCTCTCCACAGGTTGGCCTTGCCAGGGAAGAGCCTCTCTGCTGTTTCATCCCTCTCACTGGTGCCTGGTATGGTAGCAGCAGCAGCGCCTGCCTGCTTTGTTTTGAGTGCTTGTGATGAATTGCTGTTGGCACCTGGATGGCTCTTTGCTAATGTAAACCTCCTCCAGACCCTCCTGCTCGTCATCCAGAGCCACTGGATCCTTCTGGTGGGTTGTAACACATGGAGAGAAAGCAGAGGGTTCTCTCCAGGCTCCCTTCCCTAGTACAAAAGGTGGTGAGTCTGGTGGTGGGCAGGAGCTCTGTGCTCCATTCCCAGCTGTCTGGCAGCCCCTTTCTTCACCTGGAGCTCTGCTCAGGCCCTGGTATCCTGACTTTATGATCTGCCAGCTTCTTCAGTGCTTTCCATGTGCCAGCTGAGCCTGCTGCCTTCCCCAGCAGGCCGGGCAGCACCCAATGCAAGGCTCAGCTCTACACCAGTGGCTAACTGGGGGCAATGGTGCTGTGGGCTGTTGGGGGTGTTGTTTCAGGTTGTGCTGATGGAGAACACAGCTCATGGTGTGTGATTTGGGAGGTAATCTGTGCCAGAGCCTTTGCTCTAACAGGCCTGTGCTCACACATGGCTTCTCCTCATTAGTGCCTCTTCCATGACCTTTTGTGCCACCAGAATTTAGGTCCTGCACCGAACTTATCTGGGGTCTAAATCCAGCAAAGCCGGTGGAGATGTGTCAGGGATAAACTTGGCTCCAGCTCGCCCACAGGAATGG